TACCTTTCGGCCACACCGCCCTATAGAAAAAAGTAGATTTTTACATTACATTTATTTTCAGAAATGAGTGTATACAGCTCAAAAGATGGGAGAAACATGGGAAAAGCAAGTTCCTTTGCATGAAAACTGCCCTGGCCTTCACAAATATAGAGAGCTATATTGAAATAAAGAAGGAACTTTTTCCTTTTTTAAAAATAATATGCAATAGTTTTGGATCAATAAAACCCTCAAAAAGAACAGTTCCACTGTAAATGTAGGGGCAGTCTAGAAATTAGGACTTTGTTAAAGAGATGTATAAATATATATGTTTTTCACCTCTTTAGTGTAACATAAACCTATAATACAATCTGCTATCACCGGAAACCTGAATGGGTGAAAACCTACATACGTAAAGCTGTAATCAATAGTAAATGCATCTTATCCTGTTGATAGAAGTGAACTTGAACTATAGATTTGCATGATTCACCGGCAGAAGCAAATACACACAGGAAAAATACAGCACGGTCTCTTCTAAGGCAAATTGCATTCCATGTTTAATTCAGGACACAAAGAGCATCACCAATCCCATGCACTGTAGTTCCTTACCAAATATGGGGCAATATGTGAAATATTGGCTTTTACTGTGCTGGCAAGTGAAGCCGACTCACTGCAGGGACCACCCAACAGTGTTCTTGAAATGCACTTTTTGTGCTATTTATTTACTTAACAGTGAATTAAAGGGACACCCCAGAAACTTACACAACCTCAATGCACTTGATAGGTTTTGACCTTATTAAGAGGATGTATTTTTTTTTGCATGCACACAGCTTAGTCCCCAAAAGCATTCAGAGAGCATCTTTCAATTCATAACCTGGCTGCACACGTCCAGAGAAACTACTAACAGGTAGTGATATAGATACGTTTCCCTCAGTTTCCTAATGCCCGTTGTTTTGTTGTTCAGATCATTCAGTGCTGTCAGTGGCTGGGCTGTGTACATACATTTGATAAGGAAGTATTTTTCTGGAGTGAAGGGGTGTGGATAGGGAGGCAGGATTATGGCGCAGCGTTCTACAAAATATTTTGTTTGTGGAAAAACTATAGCGATTTAACCCCTTAAGGACCAAACTTCTAGAATAAAAGTGAATCATGACATGTCACACATGTCATGTGTCCTTAAGGGGTTAAACAAACAAAAATTATAAACATATTAATGAGGTCAAACTGCATTAAAATTGTATTGGTGTTAAAAGTGTCCCTTTATGGAATATCTGCAATTCATTTATCAACCTCCATATTATCAGTGAATATTCACTTATTGTGTGTTTTCCAAAATTAATTTTCCATCTAACCTACAAAATGTTATTTGTTTACACACTAGGCATTTTGTCAGTAAACTGGGGTTGTTTTTACAATTTAAATGTAAAAAAAAAAAGTTAAAAAGTTAAAAAATATGAAATCAGTTTCAAGTAGGGCTTATTCTGTGACTTTGCACCTTCTTCACGGTTACAAACACTTGCCTGTGCAACATGAGGTGAGAATAACAAACGGGTACTTTGTAGAATATGGGGGCTGTGATGCAGTGGTATGGTGCATTCTGGGTGAGAGATGCATAAAGACTGTAAGCTGTGTCACAACTGAAACCAAAATAATAAAGTTATTAATTCAGCAACGAATATCAGACAATTAAACCAGAGTGGCAAAGCGGAGTCCAAAACAGCCAATTATGAAAGATTCCCCAAGCTTGGCTGCTATGGCCTGGATTTTGTCATTGAGAATTACTTGGTTAAAATCACTAAAGTGAGAATATAAAGTGAATTTCAACTTTGAACAGGTAAAATTCTCCAGGTCAGTTATGCATCGAGTTCGGCCACTTTGATAATTCTCATTTTAGTAACTAACACGGTCAGTTTTTAGCGAATAATACAGACGCAGAAATGTGAATTACACCAGAAAGCAGAGAGATCTGACCTGTGAACCAGTCAATAAATACACGTATTGCAGGGTAGGAGTACTGCATTATCCTAGCACCGTCACTACTGGTAAATTCCTTTATTATTTTAATATATACGGACAGTAATCTTTACAAGCTGGATTTAGGAACCCACTTATTCATACGGACAGACACACATACAAGGTTTACAATGTACTCTTTTTCATATTGCGGAGGGTTTGAAATCTGGAACCCTCGTGCTCCTGATAAACTTGTTAAGTCGCCTCATTAATCCAGGTTAAAGAGCAACAAACTGCTGAACCACACAGAAAGTAAATGGCCCTTAGCAGTGAGTGGGAGAAAGAGTGAGCTCGGAAACGTGTGACGGTTATTTAGTGATTCAGGACACACACAATCACGTAGGTAATTATACATGCTTGGGGAGCCCTCTGATTTAGCCCTATACTGCGCAACCTCAGGCTCTATGTAAGTGTGAGACACAATTTAACCCTCATCGCTGGTCCAATAGGTGTCTGCCCGTGCCAGTTACTCCAGTGTGTATGTTATGCTAACTGCCCCATACTCGGTGTGTGATGCCCGCTGCCACATGTTGGTGCACCATGTCTGCAGCCAGATGCCAGCTGTCCCAATGGTAATGCTAGCTGTGTCAAGGAGTTTAATTAAATGGTTACTGCCCCAGTTGGCATGTGTGTGCCACACCAGCCGCTCAGTGGGTGTGGGTGCCACACCAGCCGCTCAGTGGGTGTGGGTGTGCGCCATATAGTTCAAGCTCAGCGATCCTCCCGTGAAGAGTATGTTAAAACACAAATCTTTCATTTTTCCTGAGAAGGGATCACATAAACCCCAATATACCAGCCATAGTACTGTTGGCAAGCAGGATCCTGCTCACAAATGGTGGTTTAAATACAATGCATCTAGATCTGTTTCACAAACATTAAACGTTACCAAGTCTCTGTTTAATGTCTTGGTAAAGTATCATGTTAATAAAATGCAGCAACCCCATACTTTTATTTCCGTCGCCTTTTGTTTGGTGGAAAATTGGTTGCTTAGTCTGAGTGATGCCATGCTTGCTGCCCTGTTGGTGTTTGATGAACGCTGTTTAGTCACTGTGTGCCAAGCCAACTACCTTCCCAGTCCTGCAATGCTATAATGTAGTCAGTCTGTGTCTGCCATGTTTGGAGCCCAGTCACTGTGTTATGCCAATAAACTGGTCCATGGGTGTGATACTACACTTGATACCCTGTCATGTGAGGTCAACCACCCAGTCAGCAGGTGTGATGCCATGTGTGGTGCCCAGTCTGAGTGATGCCATGTGTGGTGCCCAGTCCCTGGGTGATGCCTTGTGTGTGCCCAGTCCCTGGGTGATGCCATGTGTGGTGCCCAGCCCGTGTGTGATGCCATGTGTGGTGCCCAGCCCGTGTGTGATGCCATGTGTGGTGCCCAGTCCCTGGGTGATGCCATGTGTGGTGCCCTGTCCCTGGGTGATGCCATGTTTGGTGCCTAGTCAGTGGGTGATGCCATGTTTGGTGCCCAGTCTGAGTGATGCCATGTGTGGTGCCCAGTCCCTGGGTGATGCCTTGTGTGTGCCCAGTCCCTGGGTGATGCCATGTGTGGTGCCCAGCCCGTGTGTGATGCCATGTGTGGTGCCCAGCCCGTGTGTGATGCCATGTGTGGTGCCCAGTCCCTGGGTGATGCCATGTGTGGTGCCCAGTCCCTGGGTGATGCCATGTGTGGTGCCTAGTCAGTGGGTGATGCCATGTTTGGTGCCCAGTCAGTGGGTGATGCCCAGTCAGTGGGTGATGCCATGTGTGGTGCCCAGTCCCTGGGTGATGCCATGTTTGGAGCCCAGTCCCTGGGTGATGCCATGTTGGTGCCCAGTCCCTGGGTGATGCCATGTTTGGTGCCCAGTCAGTGGGTGATGCCATGTTTGGTGCCCAGTCAGTGTGTGATGCCCAGTCCCTGGGTGATGCCATGTTTGGTGCCCAGTCAGTGGGTGATGCCATGTTTGGTGCCCAGTCAGTGGGTGATGCCAGGTTTGGTGCCCAGTCAGTGTGTGATGCCATGTTTGGTGCCAGTCCCTGTGTGATGCCATGTTTGGTGCCCAGTCAGTGTGTGATGCCATGTTTGGTGCAAGTCCCTGGGTGATGCCATGTTTGGTGCCCAGTCAGTGGGTGATGCCCAGTCAGTGGGTGATGCCATGTTTGGTGCCCAGTCAGTGGGTGATGCCATGTTTGGTGCCCAGTCCCTGGGTGATGCCACGTTTGGTGCCCAGTCAGTGGGTGATGCCATGTTTGCCGCCCAGTCCCTGGGTGATGCCATGTTTGGTGCCCAGTCAGTGTGTGATGCCATGTTTGGTGCCCAGTCAGTGAGTGATGCCATGTTTGGTGCCCAGTCAGTGGGTGATACCATGTTTGGTGCCCAGTCAGTGGGTGATGCCATGTTTGGTGCCCAGTCAGTGTGTGATGCCCAGTCCCTGTGTGATGCCATGTTTGGTGCCCAGTCAGTGTGTGATGCCATGTTTGGTGCCCAGTCAGTGTGTGATGCCATGTTTGGTGCCAGTCCTGTGTGATGCCATGTTTGGTGCCCAGTCAGTGTGTGATGCCATGTTTGGTTGCAAGTCCTGGTGATGCCATGTTTGGTGCCCAGTCAGTGGGTGATGCCCAGTCCCTGTGTGATGCCATGTTTGGTGCCCAGTCAGTGGGTGATGCCATGTTTGGTGCCCAGTCAGTGTGATGCCATGTTTGGTGCCCAGTCAGTGGGTGATGCCCAGTCCCTGTGTGATGCCATGTTTGGTGCCCAGTCAGTGGGTGATGCCATGTTTGGGTGCCAGTCCTGTGTGATGCCATGTTTGGTGCCCAGTCAGTGGGTGATGCCATGTTTGGTGCAAGTCCCTGGGTGATGCCATGTTTGGTGCCCAGTCCCTGGGTGATGCCCAGTCAGTGGGTGATGCCATGTTTGGTGCCCAGTCCCTGTGTGATGCCATGTTTGGTTCCCAGTCCCTGTGTGATGCCATGTTTGGTGCCCAGTCAGTGGGTGATGCCATGTTTGGTGCAAGTCCCTGGGTGATGCCATGTTTGGTGCCCAGTCAGTGGGTGATGCCCAGTCAGTGGGTGATGCCATGTTTGGTGCCCAGTCCCTGTGTGATGCCATGTTTGGTTCCCAGTCCCTGTGTGATGCCATGTTTGGTGCCCAGTCCCTGTGTGATGCCATGTTTGGTGCCCAGTCAGTGTGTGATACCATGTTTGGTGCTCAGTCAGTGGGTGATGCCATGTTTGGTGCCCAGTCAGTGGGTGATGCCATGTTTGGTGCCCAGTCAGTGGGTGATGCCATGTTTGGTGCCCAGTCAGTGGGTGATGCCATGTTTGGTGCCCAGTCAGTGGGTGATGCCATGTTTGGTGCCCAGTCAGTGGGTGATGCCATGTTTGGTTCCCAGTCCCTGTGTGATGCCATGTTTGGTGCCCAGTCCCTGTGTGATGCCATGTTTGGTGCCCAGTCAGTGTGTGATACCATGTTTGGTGCTCAGTCAGTGGGTGATGCCATGTTTGGTGCCCAGTCAGTGGGTGATGCCATGTTTGGTGCCCAGTCAGTGGGTGATGCCATGTTTGGTGCCCAGTCAGTGTGTGATGCCATGTTTGGTGCCCAGTCAGTGGGTGATGCCCAGTCCCTGTGTGATGCCATGTTTGGTGCCCAGTCAGTGGGTGATGCCATGTTTGGTGCCCAGTCCCTGTGTGATGCCATGTTTGGTGCCCAGTCAGCGGGTGATGCCATGTTTGGTGCCCAGTCCCTGTGTGATGCCATGTTTGGTGCCCAGTCAGTGGGTGATGCCATGTTTGGTGCCCAGTCAGTGGGTGATGCCATGTTTGGTGCCCAGTCAGTTGGTGATGCCATGTTTGGTGCCCCCTTTCTCCTCCATATTTACCATTTAATGATGTCATGTACCAGGGGCAGCACTGTGTACTCTTCTTCCTCCTCTTCAGGCGCCTCGTCCTCCTCTTCCTCCTCCTCCGGTTCCTCGCTCGGTCTCGGGGGCCCCGCAGTAGCCATGTTTCCCAGTTTCTTCCCCGGGAACCGGAAGCCGTACGTCACACGGTCAGCGACACACAGACACAGCGCGGGATAGAGGGCTCTCACGATGACGTAAAACCACCGCGACGGAGCCCTGCCCGGTGTCACAGTGTGCGCCGCCAGCAATAGGAGACAAATCACAAGGACCCCTCAAACTGGGCGGACTGCAACTCCTGTAACGCTCAGCCAAGTCAGACTGGTTTGCACAGGGGATTGTGGGCTGCTGCCTCTGCATCAATATAAAACATTCAATATTAAATTAAGAAAGGTAGGGGGAAAAATAGATTTAAAGGGACCCTATAGTCACCAAAACAACTTTATCTTAATGGCCCCGTTATAGTGTATAGATCATTCCCCTGCAATTTCACTGCTCAATTCTCTGCCATTTAGGAGTTAAATCACTTTGTTTCTGTTTATGCAGCCCTAGCCACACCTCCCCTGGCTATGATTGACAGAGCATGAAAAAAACTGGTTTCACTTTCAAACAGATGTAACTTTAAAAGTTTTTATCTCCTGCTCTGTAAATTGTACTCTAGATACATACAGGAGGCTCCTGCAGGGTCTAGCAAGCTATTAACAGAGCAGGAGATAAGAAAGTCTAAATTAAATAGAATTTGCAATAAAGGAAGGGTAAACCGATGACTTTACAGGAAGTGTTTTGGAAGTCTGTGCATGTTACTTGCAGGGAGGTGTGACTAGGGCTGAATAAACAGAGTGATTTAAGTCCTAAATGACAGGGAATGGAGCAGTGAGACTACAGAGGCATGAGCTATACACTAAAACAGCTTCATTAAGCTAAAGTTGTTTTGGTGACTATAGTGTCCCTTTACTAACAAATACAAGCCACTAAAACAAATTGCATTCCTTCATATTTTTATTTTGTGTGTGTGTGTGAATTACAGTACAACAGTTATTTGCAGTAGCCATAAAAGTAGGCACATGAAACCAGGTGGCTGCACTCACCAGAACATGCATAAATGGGATGCTGCTTTGGGCCATTTTAAACAATACACAAGATCCATCACACTCATGTATCCACTAAACAGCAACTTCAATGTTGACAGATTTTAAATAAAAGAAGGCACAGTAACCTACAGTAATCCCAAAAGATACAAGTCACAATTGTTATAATAATGCAGGCTAGTCAGAGAATGGCCTCAGCAAGAGATATAAACTCGTTCCCACACTGGTAAACTAAGGGAAGTAGTTATGTCAGATTATGAGAATGTGTAAGGCACAAGGCAAAAGTGCAATCATTGTCAAATAGAAAATAAAACAAATAAACTAAAACCATTAACTGTAAAGTGAATACGGAAAAAAGTCTTTCGATAAGGAACATGTATACTTAATTATATCAGTCTGTTTTTTTGCCCAGATCTCAGTACAAAGGCAATAGTGGCCTCAAATTAATGTGTTGCATATGATTCTAGATGTGTTAGAAAGTCTTTACAAATGGTTTATTTACAGAAGTCACCATTAGAGTCTATGTGAATTTTTGTAGTTTATGTGAATAATTTGGAACGTTTTTGGAGACATCCCATCCTCTACTATTAGAAGCCTCAGTTGATGCAGTCCTAGGCTTCCTGTATCAAGACCCACAGAGCAGTAGATGGGGTAGGCGCAGAGCTAAACGGCTCTGGATTGAAGACTTTGGGGTTAAACCGTTTTCGTGAATGGATTAACTTCTACAGGAAAGCCAGCACCAGGGACCACCTGGCACCATAACAACTTAATTCTGATAAAGTTGCTATGGTACCAGGAGGTTTCCATTAAGCTGAAAGACGTCTCCTATTATCAACCTTCAACCAATAAATAAGCATGAGGGGAATACAATTCACCAGACAGATGTTTGGGGGCACAAAACGTTTTATTGTATGCATAGGGCCCCCAGGTGTTTTTAGACCCCCTGAGCTGCATGATCTATCAAAACTTGGTAAAAACTTACACTATTTGTCTTCAAAAGAAAGAGTCCCTGAGATCACTCTAAATTGTATTATTTCTTATGTTGGCTATAAGAAATATTCTATCACGAATGTGTGGTTATATCCTGGGTGTCGTATGGCTGACATTTAGCTAAATACACCTGCCAGGCATACATGTACGTAATTTTCTATTTGTAGGACTGGATGTACCTGGAGGACGTGGGGTCAGATGATGCATTTACAGTTTAAATAGCAAATACAATATTTCAGAGATTATTTGCTGAGGGCTGGATAGATCAACATTAATATTTGGCATAATTTACTTGTTCAACTTTAACAGCTGATTTTAAACAAGTCTGATTCTATGGCGTTAACCTGCTTATTTGTTGAGTGAGATTAATTATAAGTAATGTAGACTGCTGGGTTGAATTAAAACACTGCAGCCCTGTAGAATGCATAATTTATACTAAGATATATATATCTCAAAATTGATTTTCTCACCCCTCCTGGGTTGTATGTTTATTCCTCATTCTCTTGTCCTCTACCAGAGACTTCGGAGTGTGAGGGTTTTGCACAGTATCTTTAGCTAGGACTGCAGTCTTCTGGACAGTGATCTCGAACATTCCACCTGAAATCTGTTGAAGCCACTCTCCCAACTTGGGAGTCACAGCCCCGAGTGCTCCTATCACAACTGGGACTACTACAGCCTTAACTTTCCACATCCTTTCTAGCTCTTCTTTCAGTCCTTGGTATTTCTCCACCTTCTCATGTACCTTCTTCCTGATGTTGTAGTCTGCCACATCCACCATGACTGCAGTCTTCTGTTCCTTCACGTCTGGTTGGTTGGCCAGCGTTTGTCTGTCTGGATCTTGATATATACATACATATACACACACTATATAATAATTACCAGCAACCAATCAGAACTTTTTTAATAGCACTATCTGTTGGTGGGGTGGGAAATTTTTTTTTTTTCCTTGTCACTCCTAGAACGAAGAAGTTGTACATCCCCTGGTCATCGATTGTGCTAAGGAGTTTGGGACACCTTAGCCCATTTAAAAATGTAATATAACACTACACAGCATAGGCCGGGGTAGAGGAAGGGTTATGGGCCCATTGTCTGGCTCCTACCTAAATCATTACCCTCCTGAAGAAAGAGGGGTGCGAAACAGGTAAATGGTGTATTTGAGAACATCTCTTTATTTTATTTTATGCCCATTAAAACACAACTGTCTCTACAGACATTTTACAAGGTGAACCCAGTGTAATAATGTGAAGAATATTTACTTTAAAGGGGCAACACAGTCACTATATTTAGGAGCTGCGTTAAGCATACAATCCCAGTTTTTTGTCAGTTTTATTCAGCCTGCAGTGAATTCCACAAATTACCAGAAAAATAATGTTGTCCTGTTTACCTCCAGCTTACATTACAAAGTGCACTTTGCACACACAGGCTGATTTCTTGATAAGCTACTATGAGAGAATGGTTTTCCTCGGGCTGGGTTTTGCCCAGGAGGTAACAATTGAATCCTGGTCTTCTCGTATAGGATTACAGTAGCTCATTGTTAATACACTATATACTTTAAAGCATTTTGTTTTGACGTCACTGGATGATGTTATTGACAGCTTTGTTTGTTAAATGATTCAAATAAAGCATTTACACTCATGCACTGTGTTTAATGGAGTTAATGGTAGGCTCGTTAAATATCTGCAATTAATGTAATTAAAAAATATGCATATCTAGTTATTATGGGCTTCCAACAGCGTCACTTAAACATGGAGCCTTAAATGTACTTTAAAACCAGCCTGTCACTTCTTAAAATCCTACACTTTACAACTCTTTATGCTTAGTAAATACCATAATGGCGTCCGTAGTTAAAACTAGCAGAAATATAAAGTCTTAATTAGATGGCGTGACTAACTATTTTCAGTCAAATATGAAATGTCTGAGGTCAGAAGCCACAGGGAGGACAATAGTTGATATCTGATGGGATTTGTGTTCTGTTTGCTGTTGTGTACCAGTATTTGAGTTTATTCACAAAATGAATAACTTCACAGCTTGACTAGTTTGGTCTGCATTTTGCAATACAGTTTTCTTTTCACTACAATTTGTTGTGTAATAAATAAGCCTTTTTTAAACGGGAACTTCCACCTAGTATTTACAATCACCTATAACTTGTTTTTTTTTTTCCATTGATACCGGAGAAACTGACGGAAGCAAAGCACAGAGAGATGGACACAGGTTTCTTCAGGAAGGAAGAGATTGTTTATTGGATCACCGATCGGGACTCAGAGGGACTAATGTCACCAAAAATACAGCAAGTTCTGAGCCCTGAACAATAGTGCAGGCTCCCTATATAGGCACATAACTCCTCCCATATTAAGCTCCACCCGCACATTCTCTTGACCAATCATTACAAATAAGAATTAACTTCCTGCTTGACCGCATGGCTTGTCCAGCACAATGGAGGAGGGGAATACTACATCCTGTATTCTTGCACATGCTCCGTACACTACTGATCGTATCTTGCCTCGTGCAACCAACTGATCGATACGTCAGCATATGCACGTACACATGCCACGTGGTAATCTCGGCCTACTAAATTTATTTTTACCGAGATTCCACCACATTCCCCCCTTTGATGCCTCTTGATATTTTACAATTACTTGAGGCATCACTTAACCTTGGTTTGCATACACCACAAGTTACCTTTGAACCAGACCAGACTTATCCTATGATGTGAATCTTCAACACTCGTCTTCCTGCATTGGTTCTCCCTGATCTAGAGCCTTATATTTATAAATTGCCATTATCTGTGCAGCAGCCTTCCTCTCTGCTATATTTTCTATCAGGCTTTGCACAGACCTAACTACTAAGGGTATAAGACACGGCAGGAGTAGACACAACATTAAAATCAGTAGGAGTCCACCTACCACTACCTTAAGCCCTCCAAACCACTCATACCAGCTACCAAACCAACTACTTGGATTGTACCCTTTCCATACCTGAGTAGGCACATGCGCTAGTTTAACCATATGGCTAGTAAGCTCAGCTATTGCTTGCCCTTCGTCATCTATTTGAAGACAGCAATTGCTCAGGTTAAACTTCCCACATACACCTCCCTCTACTGCC